TACTTTGCACTACAGCAGAATTGATGTATTTGTAGGCATGGCAGGGTGGTTGGACAGACGGACATGCAGGGGTGCACAAGTGGGCAGCAAGCGCGTGAATTCCCAGGAGCTTTCAGAGAACCCTGTAGCCAGTCATCACTGCGAGGCTTTTGCAACCTTAAAATTCCTGATGCTGTGGAGACTGGAGCGAAACCCAGAAAAGAGACTGGAGTGAACCCCAGAAAACCCAATTATTACTTTAACTATCAAGAGCACAGAAAATCCAGGGGCCAAACCAAGCTCAAAGGTTAGTGAAAAAAAAAAGAGGCAGATGACTTTTAGGTCCATGAACAAAACTAACGGAATTTGAAGTGCAAGAAATCTCAATTCACCATAACACAAAATGAAAGGCCAGTCGAACATGGGTGTCCCCTGTTTCAGGGCCTGCCATCCCTGGAGGAACCTGGTCTGCAGCCCTGCCCCACTCCTCCAGATGGCCGGGGCTGGGTTGCAGATGTCCAGCTGCTGCACTGCCTAACAGGCCTGGAGCCAGAGAAGCCCTGAGAGTGCCAAGAGGAGGCCCCTGCAGGCCAGGCCAGGGCGTCTCCCTCCTGGGTTCACAGCAGATCCTCTGTGCCGAGTCTGACTCATCTCACCAGCTCTCCCCAGCAATTCAGCAAGGCAATTACCATTTATTCCCATTTTATAGATAAGGAAACTGCAGCTAGGAGAAGTTAAAAACTTGCCCCCACAGATCCTGCTGATCCCAGTGACTCAGGAGGAGGCTGAGGCAGGGAGATGGCAAGTTCAAGATCAGCCTTGGCAACTTAGCAAGACCCTGACTCAAAATCCAAAATAAAAAGTGCTGGGGCCCGGCACAGTGGTCACACACCTGTAATCCCAGCAGCTCAGGAGGCTGAGACAGGAGGATCGCGAGTTCAAAGCCAGCCTCAGCAAAAAGCAAGGCGTTCAACAACTCAGGGAGACCCTGTCTCTAAGTCAAATGCAAAAAAAAAAAAATAGGGCTGGGGGTGTGGCTCAGTGGTTGAGTGCACCTGAGTTCAATTCCTGCTACCCCCCCCCACTCCCCAAAAAAGTGGAGAGTGGACAGTCATTTAGGAGAAAGCTGAGGCAGGGAGATGGCTATCACTGTAACTCAGTGGTAGAGTGCTCCTGGGTCAATATCCAGTACCTAAAAGAAAAACAAAAAAAGAAAGAAAGAAAGACAGAAAACAGCCCTAGATTGCACATAGGATCCAAGGTCTATGTAATGCCAAAGTCCAATCTTAACCAGTATCCTTCATTCTGCCTGTTTGAGACCAGCTGTGGGGTTTGATAACGAACATTTATTAAGCTCCTGTTGCATATAAGGACTGGTCCAAGTAGTAGCATGATGTGGCACTTCATAATTCAGCCAGCTCTAAGTGTGCCTCTGCTAATGAGCCCTGCAAGAGGACAATTTGGAAACATTTACAACTGATAAGAGCATAGGCTCCAGCCTCCTAAATGACTGTCCCCTCTCCACGGGGTAATTCGATCTTGTTGACAGATAAGAGCACTAAAATGCAGTGACAACAGTCAGAGCTCCAGGTCTGACTCAGTAGCCTTTGCCTTTTTTCCTGCTCCAGGGGAGACCCAAGGTGGAGGGGGTCTCCAGAGCCGCCAGCCCTTCGGCCAGCAGGAAGCGGCCACACTGACCTCCTCCTCCAGCCCGTGGGGGACGCGCTGGCTCAGGGTTTCCAGGGCATCAGCCTGGTTCCCTGGCAGCCAGCGAGGCACCCTGGGATGGGAAATCAGGCAGCCGCCCAGATATTAGAAACAATTACCACTAATTACCAGGCCTGCCAGTTCCCCATTGTCTGCTCACACCCCACCAGGAACTGAGGAGCAGGCAATGAGGAAACTTTCAATTTCGGGCTGTGGAAGGCCTCTCTGCCTGAGCGGCTGGGCTCCTTCCACGCCTCCTCGGAGCCCAGTGGCCCAGCCATTTCTTTTGCTTTTAGAGTCCACACCCACCTCACAAGACAGCCTGTGCCCCTCAGAAGGCTAAGAGGGTGGGGCGGAGAGTCCCAGGGCCTGGAGGGAAGGCCTAGTCGCCCTGAGCTCTGCCGTTCGCCTCGGTGATGTTAACTCAGGGTCTTTGGTTTTATCAGAGTATTACTGAGTACATATTCCAGTCCCCCAGGTGCTTAAGTGGGTTATTTTTTTAGATACTTGATTAATTAAAAATATAGCATTGTCAAGTCATCCGGATGGTAGCCACAGAAGCCCGATGACCTGGGCTCCAGAACTGCTCAGCGTCTGTCTTGGTTTGGTTTCTTTCAGAAGCAGACCCAGACTCAAAGATGAGAGTGGAAACGAGTGCTTGGTGAGGTGTTCCCTGGAGTCCCCAGCGAGGCAGCAGCATGAGGAAGGAGATGGGAGGAGAAGGAGCCAGTACAGGAGGGTTACTCAGCCTTTGACCACCGTGGGCGGTGGATGCAGGGAGACCGTGTTGGATGTTGGATGTGGGACCCAGTTATCCCTGCGGCACACCACTCCCAGTTTGTCACTGGTTGGGGCTGTTTCTGGGGGTGTTAACCCTTGGGAGCTTCCAGCCTGCCCTGCGCACAGGTGGAAAGTGCTGTCACAGCCGAAATCGCGCCCTCAGACTGTGTGGTCTGTGTGAGCGCCTGGGCGAGCTGAGCCGAGAGAGGGCCGGAGGGTGGGCAGGTTTCCGACCTCTCGTGCCAACCTGTGTCACGAGCCCAGGAATAGCAGCAGCCTGGGGCCGAAAGGCAGAAGCGAGTTAAGACCTATGTAGGATCCCTGAGATGCCGGGTGACTCCGTAAGCTCTGGACCTTGCTATTTTGACTCTCAGTATGGAGTCCCCATTTTTCTGGTGTTTGTGGAAAGTCAATCTGACTCGGTTCAGATTTCCCCGAGGCTTGTGCTTATGTGGAAGTTTACGTAGAAAGACTCTGTGTCAATTGCTAAAAGAGGCCTTGGGGTGACGTTCAAAGTACAACCGGCCCTTTGTACCCAGGGGTTCTGCATCCGTAGATCCAACCAACCTCAGATCAATAATATCTGAAAAAAAAAATTTCCCCAAAGTTCCCAGAGTCAAAACGTGGACCTGCCACACGCCAAACCCCGTGCTGGACTCACACAAGGGAGTTGGGGAGGCCCCCACGGCAGCCCCTTCTCAGAGCTCCGAGCGCCTTGGCGGGCCTCAGGTCTTGACTGCTTACAACTGTACTGAACAGGTACAGATGTTTTCCTTTCTGATTATCATTCCCCACATCATGGAAGGTGTCACAGTCATTTAAATAGCATTTCCACTGTGCTAGGTGTTTGAGTAATTGAGAGATGATCAAATTAAAATATTCGTGAGAATCGCATGCAAATCCTACACCGTTTAATTCCGGGACTCGAGCACTGTGGGTTTTGGTCTCTGAGGTCCTGGAACCCATCCCTGTGGATACGGAGGGACGGCTGAGGTAGAGACCTCAGGACAGACCCTGATCGACTGTTCAGCATTGCAGCCAGCACCCACACACGGGAATTTTCTTGTCCTCTCTTCCCCCTCCCCAACATTTACTGCCATCTGACATACTATATAATCTAGGGACAATATTCTTTTTTATGTGTGTCTTCCTCCACTAGAATCTAAGCACTCGAGGGCAGGAGTCACTGACTTGTTCCCTGATACATTCTATGTCCAGAACAGTGCCTGGAAGTAGTGTGTGCTCCGTAAACACTTGTCAAATGAGTGAGTGAGTGACAGGGACACTGGCTGTAGTTCCTAGTGTGCCAGGGAATTGTGCTTAGCTGGGTCATGCACGGACCATGGAGGCAGAGTGGGAGGTCCTCAGACACCACCCGTCATTCTGGCCATTTTGAACGGAACCCTCAGCTCTCTCGCCTCCTTGCCTGACTTTCCTCGACTCTCTGGCTGCTTTGGGGCAGGACAGCCTGGTTTGGTACCTGTTCTTCTAAGTCTGTTTCTTGGCACCAAAAAGCCAAGAACCTCTCTTGGTCTCTGCACCCTAAGGGCTGCCCTCCTCTGAGGCAGTGGACATCAGACAATCTGCTGCTGCCTCTGTGGGGGACAGGGCAGGGGGAGTGGGAGTTGTGACAGTGAAAAGCACTCGGGCTAGAATGTCAAGTTCCCATCCTTCATTGGCCTGATGGCTGCTTACTCAAAACCAGAACCTGCTGGCCACACTGGGGTGCCTCACAGTGTTGAGGGAAGACGTGGGCAGCCAGGACGGGGGCTGGTAGAGTCTGCAGGTGCTTTTCACGGGGACAGGCCATCCCATGGCTCAGCTCCATGAAGCTCCCATCCTATGTCTGAGGCCCACATCTGGTGGGGAAAGAGAGCTCTTGCTCTCAAATTCATACAAAGCTCCCAGGCAGATTCTTGTTGACTGAATTAGGCCACAGGCCTGATTCTCTGTGCCAGCTGGCCAAGGAGAAGGAATGGCCTGATTGGTCAGGCTGAGTTGCAGGCTCAGCCACTGCAGTCACATGCCATGGAGAGGGATCCCCAAAGGAAATTTGAGATCTTATTACCAAAGGAAGGGGAAGTGGATTTTGGTAGCCAGGCAGCAGCAACAGCAGCTCACCTTGAGGTCCAAAGCTGCTGTTGGGACACCTCAAACTTTGGTGTGTAAAGTGGTTGTGGGGGACTCAGGCTAAACTGCAGATTGGGATTCAACAGAGGGGAAGGGGGTGGAGTCAGGTGCAGTGTGATCAGTTAGCTCCAGGGGATGTGATGCTGCTGGCTCCGGACCACCCTTGGAGGATCAAGGCCTCAGAGAACAGGAGCCTGGCCTGTAACAGACCATCTCCCGTGATTCTCACAGCCAGAGAGGTCAGTATCCGCTTAGCCATTCCCTGGAGGCTCAGCGAGGAGAGTCTGGGTGATGGATGTGGACGACAATCCACAGGGAAAGGGGAACGTTCTAGAGCTACCTGCCCCGGTTCCGGAGTTCTGTCTCACCCTGCAAACATTTATGTTCACCTTTTCTCCTTGCAGCCTTAACTACGGGGGAGTTTGTCTGGCATCGGATGCCCAGTTCAGTGACTTCCTGGGCAGCATGGGGCCAGCGCAGTTTGTGGGCCGCCAGACCCTGGCCACCACACCCATGGGTAAGTCCCCAAACGCCTGCTACCTGTGGACGGGGATGGGGAGTCCCACCAGAAGTCCTGCGTCTCCCCTTCTCCTCTGCCCTGCGGTGGGCACCCAACCTGGAGCCTGCTCTGCATGGTCAAGCCCTGGCAGAGCCTGGACCCTGGCATGGGGTTGACGCTGGTCTTATTCGGGCTGGAGCCGGGGAAGGGGCTTTTGTCCCTAAGCAGAGAGGAGCCGCTGGGTCCTTGCTGAGTTCCCAGTCCATTTCTCAGTGTCATCTCCTGGGGCCTCCTGCAGGTGACGTGGAGATCGGCTTACAGGAGCGGAATGGTCAGCTGGAAGTGGACATCATCCAGGCTCGGGGACTGACAGCCAAACCAGGCTCCAAGACACTGCCAGGTGTGGGGCCAGCTCCTCTCTGCCAGCCGTGGGTGGAGGTCCGAGAGGGTATAGAAGAGAGAGACTTGGGCCCAATCATGGGAGGCTCCTCTGTCCCAAAGCTGGTGGCTTAGTGTTGGCCCCAGGGACCCAGTGGAGATGGTGGGTCAGCCTTGTCTGTCTGGCCGCTGCAGTGGGCTCCGGGAAGGCGAACGTGTTTCCGGTCTGTAGCTGTACCCCGTGACTAGCAGGGTACTCAACATGTGCCTAGTCAGCTTGTTGAGTGAGTGGGTCAGCAAATGAATGTGAAGGCGGGGTGGGCAGGTCATGGGCTGAGAGGACAGGGGAGTGCAGAGCAGGGGAGGGGAAGGCCTGAGGAGAGGGGGCCGCCCAGTGCTAGCTGCACCCACCACCCACCATGCCCCACTTGCTCCTGGGCCTCCTCCCAGACTCCCTGGGGCCACTCCTCTCTGGGCAGTGGGTGGGCAGCGCCCCCTATTTGGTACCCTTTGCACACCCCATGAGGAGCCAGCCTAGAACTTCTCCCACTGGCCTCTGTCCGCAGCGGCCTACATCAAGGCCTACCTGCTAGAGAACGGGGTCTGCATCGCTAAGAAGAAGACCAAAGTCGCTCGCAAGTCGCTAGACCCGCTGTACAACCAGGTGCTGCTGTTTCCTGAGAGTCCCCAGGGCAAAGTCCTGCAGGTGAGGCTCTGTTTGTGTATGTGTGTGCGTGGACACGAGGGTGTGGTACCTGAGTCTGGGCATCGTGCCTCTGGAGGCCCCCCCTGGAAGGAGCTGAGCACCGGGGCTGATCTGTGCCCACAGTGTTCGGGCCCCTGCTGAAGCCGCCTTCTGAGTCTGGCGGACCACAGAGGTTTGGCCCCACCCCGGCGGTTACTGAGACGAGCTGAAGAGTGCCCATCGTGGGCAGGCAGGGCCTGGTTAATGCCCACAGGGCCCTCTGCCTGGCTCTCTGTGCCACCTGGGCATCCCTGCCTGCATCTCATTTCTTGCATCCAGCCCAGACAGGCAAAGCAACAGGGGCCAGATAGTAGGACTTTGGCAAAACCGGAAGCCCAGGTCCTGTGGAGGGCAGGGTTTTCCACCATGTGGGCTGAGACCCGTTAGTGAGTTGTGAGTCAGTTTTAGCAGGTCTCAAGAAATAATATTTTTAAAAATGGAATGGGGGTAAGAAGGAAAGCCTCCATCGCTCTTAGTAAGGTAACAGTGTCTGGTGGCACCTTCTTCAACTGTATGTGCCGTGTGCACACTGGGTGGTGGGGCAGTATCTTCCTTGCCTTATATCACTGTCAGAAATGTCTGGAAAACACAGCTGGCCCAGGGGTGTTCAAGTAGCATTTGAAACAGCCTGAAGACCATCTCAGGACCACCCCTGGCCTGCTGGACAAAGGTTTGTGTGTTCTGGTCCTCAGGGCAGGTCCCTTCTGGGATGTGCAGGGAGTGGGGAAGCAGAAAGCTTCCCATGGATCCTTGGGTCCTTGCTGGTGGATGACCCGACAAATGTCACAGTGGGACAGACTCACCATGAGTGATGCCCCTGGTGTCTCTCCATGTGTTCAAAGGGCACCTGTCAGATTAGATTGGGGCCCACCCTCATTTTAACTTAACTTGATGCCCCTTATGACCTACCACAGTCCCAGACTTAGGAGGTGGAGCTTAGAGCTTCAGTGTATAAGTGGTGGGGACCCGGTCAGTCCTTGGCACCAGTGAAAACGAATCTATCCATGCACCGGCAGTGGGCTCCCCATCAGCTCTCCGAGGAGCAAGCTCAGGAAAAGGATTTCACTTCTGAGCCTCCATTAGACAACGGTGAAACTGGACTGTTTTGCATAGGGTTGGGGGAGGTGGAGCCCACGGCCTGTTTAGACACATGGCCACGAAGCCAGCCCTCGTTTGACTGTGACCCCGTGTGTGGACCTCAGGTTCTTGTTTGGAGCCCGTGAGTTGCTGGGCAGGCTTCAGACCCGTGTCTCTCGCCCTGCAGGTGATCGTGTGGGGGAACTACGGGCGGATGGAGCGGAAGCAGTTCATGGGTGTGGCCCGTGTGCTGCTGGAGGAGCTGGACTTGACCACCCTGGCCGTGGGCTGGTACAAGCTCTTCCCCACCTCCTCCATGGTGGACCCAGCCACAGGCCCCCTGCTCCGGCAGGCATCCCAGTTGTCCCTTGAGAGCACCGTGGGGCCCTGTGGCGAGCGATCTTAGTGCCGGGGATGGGGAGGGGCTCCCCGAGATGGCTGGAGACCACCCAGCCCTGACCTGGGACCCCAGGCCCAGGGGCACATTGAACAGAGGAGGATGGGGTTCTCCCCCACAGCGGGGGAAGCAGAATGGGGAGACCTGCCCCCCTCGGGCCCCTCCTCACCTTTCTTTGCCTCCTCCCCGAGACCTTCCCTCTCCCAGCGGGCTGGCGCACTTTGACTTGGCTGGCCTTGACCTGGTGGATGCGGCTGCAGTCGGAAGAAGACGGAGGTGGCAGAGCAAACCCCCCACCTGCCCAAACACTGTCCCACCTCTTCCCCTTTTGCCTCCTTGGAAGCTGCTGCCCAGAGCCAAGTCGAGGACCCAGCCGGCCATCTCCATGGTGCCAATTACCAGCAAGTGTCTTTCCTGCGGCACCGGGTTCAGGCAGGACACTGCCCCAGAGCCGACCGGGCAGCTTCGCAAGGATCCGGAGCCAGCTCCTGGGGCCCACAGCCCCCACTTGAAGAGGAGCTTGGGCCTCCCTCTGCCTGCCCGTGGAAGGAGCTTTGCCGCAGCTGTCCGAGTCAATCTGTCCATCCCCTCCTGCCTGCCCCTCTTCTGGTGGCTCTAGGAATGGAGGTCCAGCAGGAACTGAAGGAAAGGAGGCAAGGGGACCCTTTGCTCCATGGCACTGTGACAGACTCGTCTGGGAACTGTGGGTGGACTGGAAGGACACTGTCACCTGTGTTTTGGTAGAAGTGCTGTGGGACCCTGAGGTTCCAGAACCCCTGCCCAGGGAGATCGCCGTCTCAGCATGTGGGGGATGCTGGGTTGGAGGGGGCTTGGGGAAAGCTAGGATTGGGACCGGCAGTGCCATGGTAAGGGTTTCCAATAGGGGGACCCTTCTTGTTGGATGAGATTGAAGGTCATCTTTTCTACCCCTCTGCCTCAGTTTAGGGGTCTGGGGCGGCATTAGAGCCCCCCGTTTTAGTCTTTGTCAGTCATCCTGCACTGAAGGCACAGCCCCTTGGTTCCCTTGATCGTCTTGGTTCAAGGGAAGGAGTGGGATGCTGCAGGGGCTGAGATTTGGGAGCCTGGGCGGCTGCCTTCCCTGCTGGGCCCCGAGCCCTTTCGCATGCCAGGGAGGCCTCTGGAGGCCGCAGGCTGGCTGGTCTGTCTTTATAGAAGCACATTTCCGCCACCTCCCTGAGGCCCGGGCAGCCTGTCTTCCTTTTCACCTAGTCCCTGCGGGTAGGGCGTAGTCCAGTTAGCTGGTAGACTCAGTGTTCACACCCGGGGCCTGCTCCTAGCTCCGACTAGTCTTTTACGGGGTGGAGAGGAGACCCAAGGACTTTCCAGGAGCTCGTCTCCTGGCCGGCTGGGCCCTGTTGGTAGCCGCTGCTCCTCCTCCTCCCCTTCCTTCCTCTTGCTGTAGGGTCGTAGCTGAGCTGCCCGCTGTACTCAACGTTCTGATTACTTGCCCTTGGTACTGATTTTCTTTATAAGGCACTCCTGAGGGTGGCCGAGCCTTGCCGAGAGGGCCTGGGCGCCATCAGGGCCGCATTTTCCACTGGGAACACCTGAGCTGTTCAGTTCCACCGAGGATTGCTTCCACGTGGAACTCTCGGTCCCTCAGTCTGGGTAGGCCCAGGGTGTCCTTCAAAATTCTGGTTGCGTTCCATCGCCTCCATGGAACTTCTTAGTTGCACGGCAAGAAGCGCTGGAGATGCTCCTCTTGTCCACGAGGCCTTCAGAACCTCTCAGGATCGTGCAGGGGTGAATCCTGAGGCTGGGGCCCGAGGGAGCAGGGCTCGTGGGCTCCCATCTAAGGTCCACCATCAGCCCCTCCCCCATTTTTTTTAAACATTGTGATTTCTCTGATGTTTGTTTATTATACACCATTTGAAATATTTTGAGCCAGGAGAGGAGAGAGGCTTCTCTTTCTATCCATCATTGCTGTGGTTTTTTCAGGGGCCACTTTTCAAGGATGGGGCAGAGCCTGGCTGTCCCAAGCAGAGGGGGAGGGAGCTCATGCTGACTTGTCCTCCCCTCTCCATCTGAGCCCTCCCTTGGGTGTCTGCAGAGCCTTGGGGTGGGGGAGGGAGGGAGGGAGGGAGAGAGGGAGAGAGAGAGAGAGAGAGAGAGAGAGAGAGAGAGCTCTCCAAAGCAATAATTACCCCCTGGGGTGGTCAGCGAGGCCCCCCCAATGATTTTCTTGTTTGTTCTGTGAAATCTCGCTCACCTCCTGGAGGGGTGGGGTGGGGGCTGGAGCCCTGTTTCTTTGTATCATCATTGTGAGCACGTGCCCTCCTAGGAGGGGCTGTGACCATTGGGTATGGGAACCATCGTCTGTCCTCGCCAAAGGAGGGGGGTTGGGGAGGGGGAGTGACTATTTTCATCATTAGCTTTGGGCAGCCTTCAAGCCCAGCCTGTCCCCGCTGCTGTCTGATCCTTTGCCAACTCAGACTCCACCATTTGGATAGGAGCAGAAAGGGTGGAGTTGGGGGGCCTTTCTAGCACTGGGGTCTCTAGGGGACAATTCTTTTCTCCATCTCTGGGCAGAGGTCACATGCAGGGGTGCCATGGGAGGGTGTCATCTCCACCGTCCTTCTCCAGATGCCTTTTCATACTAAGGGAAAGGGCTTTGGGGACCTTTAGTCCATTTCTACTTTATAGATGAGATCTAGCCTGGCACAGGAGGAGCCACCCTGGGGTCACCTGGGCACTCAGTGGCACCCTGAGCCTTGGCTTCCTCCTCCCAACTGGCTGAGCTGGAGCCATACCAGGATGAAGGGGCTGCCACATGCCACACTCCCTTTCCCTCTCCTCAGAGCCTCCTAATGGTCCCCAAAAGGGGCAGGACAAATTGTAATCCCTATAAAAGCCTAGGCAGCTGAAGCCCAGCAGAGGGGAACGACTTGCCCAGGACCCCCTGCAAGTCAGCGGCTGGGGCAGAAGAGGGGCTCCTTCAGGCTTCCTTCCTGCACCAGGAGACGGTCGTGCCAGGGCAGGTGCCGGGACCGTATTCCAGCTCAGCCCCGGGCTGCACACCCCTGCTCTGCTCTGCTCTACCTACTGGGCCAGTGTCTTTTCTGGGTTTGGGTTTGGGGGAGAGGGCTGCCAGGGGACCGAGGCTTCCTAGCAGGCTGCCCAGCTGACCGAGGGCCTGCAGGATTTGACCAGGCTTGGATGTGTGGGTGGGGCTTCTGTCCAGGGCCATAGCTCTCCAGGACTGGCTGGGGGGAGAGTTAGAAACACCAGCTTCGGCCAGGGCACAGGGAGTGGGCAGAGGCACCCACCCTCTGGGGACTTCCCCACTCTCCTTCACCTGTGCCAGGCCTGCCTCCTCTAGTGCTGTCCACACTTGCAGGTTCATACCCTTGACCCCCACAGGAGCCCTGGGTAGTAGGTGGAGGGCAGCCTGTGTTGTGGACTCCATTTTCAAGAGGGCAAGGTGAGAGGAAAGTGCTTGGTGAAGGTCCCGCTGTGAGGGAGTGGCTGAGCCCTGACCAGCATCTCTAAGCTCATTCTTCCCCAGGAGGTCAGCTGGAAGTTCAGGGGATGGCTGTCCACTCTACAGCCTGATTCGCCACCCAGTTCCAGGAGCCCCGGGGGTGCTTCAGTGTTCGGAACCCCACGAGCTCCACTCCTTTCAGAGGCACAGCTGTTGCATCAGGCAAGGTCACCTGCATTTATTTATTGAGCAGCAGTGCTGTGCTGGGCCAAGGGGACCGACCCCCTCCCTCCCCCTGTACCAGCTCCCCTGCCCTCTGGGAGGGCCCATGTCTGTAGAGCAGCACCTCAGAGGATGAAAGTGTTTGAGCCCAAGAGCTCACCTGACAAGGCCCGAGGACTGGGCTCATGCCCATTTCACCCAAAGCGTCTGTGAGGGCCCAGTGGAGGCTGGAATGGGCACAAAGGTGTCACCTCTGAGCCCTTTGATGCTACAACTGCCTCCTATAGGGGGTGGTGGGTTAACGGGACCCTGGGTCCTCAGGCTGGGGGCCTCTCCCACCCACCTTTTCCTTATGCCCTCTCTAGGAGCAGGACCGCCCAGACCTTTGGGGAGGGAGGGTTTCTGGGGCCCCTGGGTTGGAGTGGGTCACATCGCATTGTGTTCATGACCATGTAGCTCATGTTAACATTAAAGTTTTTGGCTTTTCTAACCGGGCTTGTTCGTGGTTTGTGTTGAGATGGTTCCTTCTGGAGGGATAAAGGCTCTAAGGGTCTTAATGCTGTGGGATGCCAGGATGCCCCGCCAGGGTCTTTGTTAATCCCCTAATGGGGCCGAGACCTGTCTGGGAAAGCCCTGCTGGAGATGCACAGGAGGGAGCAGGGTTCTAAATGCACCCAATTGTCTTACTGATGTGGAAACTGAGGCCCAAGGAAAGAATGAGGTTCCCAAAGTCACAATGCTGGTGATCGGCAGGACCCAAAATAAAGTTCATCTCACAGCACTGGGCTGCCTCCTGGGTGGGGGGGGGATCCTAGTGACATAGGGGCTGTCAGCAAGATCTCCTTCATCTGGGAGTAGGGCTGGCTAAGGACAAAGGATCAGCTTTATGCAGTGGGGGTGATCATTCAAACGTGGGTAATTCTGTACAGGCTGGGTGAACAGAAAGAAGTCATTTAAATGTGCAAAAAATGGCCGCTGGGGAGGTTTCCTTCTGTGCATCTGTTCTCCATGCTTCTAGCTTGAGCACCTGGCTTCCCCATAGGGTTCCAGTGCTGAAAGTTGTACATTTCCCTGCTGCACATGATCCACCTCTTCACAAAACACGCAGCCACAAGTCTCCCCTCTGAAGGGCCCTCAGGTAAGGTGGTCCAATGCAAGGGCTGTCCCAGGTGCTGATGTGGCCAGGCCTTCTTGCAGCAATGTGGACTAGGATTTGCACCTATGGAGTGACTACAGACTAGCTTGTGCTTGTGATGCAGCATAACGTATTTTTGAGGGGCTGGAAGAGATGAGCATCAGAAGGTAGTAAGGAGCCACTCCTTGCAGAAGACAACCTCAAGGCCTTGGCTCCTCTCCAAGCCCCCGGGTGGGTGCCCTGGGAGATGCTCCAGATGCTCCCAACCAGGTTTGACCCCGCCTGGCCAGGGCTGTCAGATGGACCGGGCCCGGGGCCTGTCTGCCCTGCTGCCGCACACGGCCACAGGGCTCAAGGGGGGCGAGAAGCCCAGATTGTCGCGGGCGCACCTCTCCAGCTGCCGGATGCGGCGGCAGGAGCTGCAGATGG